TGCTCAGATTATCATTTATTTTTGGAAATTGTGATATCAGGGAACAGTTAAATTTCACTGTTCCCTGATTTGAACCATATACAGTTTTATTACAGTATATATTGCCACAATAATAGATAATAAATAAAACATATTTGAACACAGTATTGACTAAAAATAGGCCGGTAGTCCTACTTAACTTTCTGTTTTTGGCATTGTTTTATTTCATAGCTTTGAACAAGCAAAAATGTGAAACCTACAGATGCAATAAGCACCTTGAAGATAGAGTTTATAAGCACGGGCGGACCTGGTTTTACATTGTGGGGAGGGGGGTGGAGTGTCAATTTTTTTTTTCATAAAAACTCAAAAAAAGAAAGGGGGTCCTACCCTTTGAAAATGTTGATTCCTAGATGGCGGGAAAATAAGCTTTCCAGCCTTCTGAGGTGTCTTTTAATTACTTTAAGTTATTTAAAATTCAAGGTTTTCCCCTTTTGAAAACGGTCAGTTAAACCAAACTTTCTGACTCTTATGACAGTAAATAGGCCTATTTGTGTATATATATGTACATAAAAATTGAGTCGCAATGTAGGCCTGTTCTTCTTTTCATGAACCGATGAACCACAAAGAGGAGGGTCCGGGGGTCCTCCCCCGAGAAAATTTTGAAAATTTAGATCCCTAAATGGTAGGAAATTAGCTTTCCCGACTTCTGAGCTGTGTTTTAATGACTTAAAATTTTAAGGTTTTCCCCCTGTTGGAAACGGTCAAATAAACTTTCTCATTCTTATTACAGTAAATACTAGTAGGCCTATTATGTGTGTATATAAAGTACATCACATACATATTCTTCTTTCCATGAATCGATGAACCACAAGGAGGAAGAGACTCCCCCCCCCCCCACTCCAAAGGGAAAAAAACAAATCCGCCAATGTGAATTGCGAGAAATATCTCGGTCGGGGACTGCATAAACACTCTCTTTCTCCTCCCTCTCCTTCTTCCCTCTTTCTTTTCTTGCATTTCTTTCCGATTATAGAAAAATCTCCATATAGACATTATACAGTACCGTATATTTTCAGCAGCTTTCCACACCCCCACCCCCGGCCACCCCGGTTCCGCCGCCCATGTATAACACATTACAAAAACAAAATATGTAACTGCACAGACATGGTATAGTTGAGCAGCAAAAGCGAAACCACGCAGTTGTTATGACCAACTCCCTGATCAGTCTAGTAGAATATCAGCCCGAGTATCAGTATCTTAATTTAAAACTCGGTAGTCGGTAGTACGACACTACTCCCGGACGCAGGCCTCCCGTACGGGCCGAACGAATGCGAATTTCGCCTCCAGCGAGGACACGACCGGACAGGATTGAGTACCTTGCCAAAACCATTTTCAATGTGTGGTAAAATAAATAAATAAATAAAACCACAGAGAGGCGGCTGCAGTGTGCGCATAGCACAGGATTTACCATATTGGATACGCAATCAATGAACGAATTCATTTTTATTATGTGGTATCCACGGTTATTGACGGCTGGTTTAATTCATATTAAAGTTTTTTTTTCTTCTTATGAGGTCAAAATTATGCTAAATTTTTCTAAAATTATGCCAGCACATATGCTAGATGCTAAATGGGTCTAAATTATGCCAAAAAAGCATAATTATGCCAGGTCAAAATTATGCTAAATTTTTCTAAAATTATGCAAGCATCCTTCAATTAGGCAATCCTGCCATATAGACCCTTAAGTGGCTCCTGTTATTTTGGGGAAATAGATGTTAAAAAATTATTAAAAATATGTATCAAAATGTAATTAAGATTAGTTACTCTTTTATATTATTTTCGATTAAATTTATGTTGTCCATGTTATTTAATTTGTGTGGGAAAAACGATATTAAAACAACAAAATATCCTAGTATTTTTCCTTGGATTTTGCAAAGAGAAACAACAAGTGATTTTCGAGATAATAATAAAATAAAAAATGATATACTAAAGGTTTCTTTGCCAAAAATCATTCCTATTATTATTATTTATAGTAAAAGAATATTAAATTAGTATATGTCGCGTGGGCCGCATAATTTTCGTTCGCAAATTGAGAGTAAGGCCAACACCAAATTATCACCGTCAGAGAAAATTATTGTTTAAAAAGTAAGGGGAAATCCATTGTCTCCTTAATTGGTCGTGTTACCGTATCGTTTTTCCTGTCTGCTTTATCAAAATCAATGTTGGCAGTCCAATATTGAACAGCCAGTATCATTGCTTTTGCCTTGGTCGGCTTTATCGATTCCAATAATCCGTTAATGAGGTATCTAGTAACTGTTGTTGCTTTTTAAACTTGAATATGAGCGAGCTCTATACAAAGCTTGTATTATTAATTTGATTATTATTATTTATAAATATTAAAATAGTATAGATCAGTTGGCCGCAATAAGACTGCTATTGTGTAGGCCTAAAGTAAAGAGCAAAAACATAACTTTTTTTTTATAACAAGGTATTTTCAGTCATAGAATAGACTAACCTTTAACATTCCAACTATAATCAATAATTTCGATGTAATTTCGCATTTAAATATCAAGTGCGCGTGAACACGCGCAAATATTCGAATTCTAAAGATGAATTATAAATCATGTGGCGCTTTTGATATTAAATAGTTATTAATTAAGTAATAACATCATAAACACAATTAAACATGTAAAAATACTGTGTAATGACCTAACCCATATACATTACATGTGTTCATCGGGAAGATTTGGACTCAAAAATGGACGGTGTATATCACGTGACTTTCGCAAACCGAGGAGCGGAATATCACAACTCTTTATATATATGGCTCTGGGCAGACATCGCCACAGAAGCATCCTTATATTGTTTTAAAAATATATATTTATGTGATTTGAGTTTATTTTATACAAATTATTTAATGATAACATTTTTTATACATAAATAAAAAGCAAGCATGACTGTATAGGATATATTTTATTATAAGCATTTAAATCTATTAGAGTACGAAATAGACGTAAATTACCGTACATGGTAGACCAATTTGAAATATTTTAATCATTTTTTCAAACAGTTAAGCAAACATTACTTATATAATTTTAGTGTAATTTTAGATTTTTTTTATGTATAGATCCCAATGAAGAGCGAAAGCTTGATCATTAAAAACACGATTTGTTCCATATAAGCCTCCGACTGTTTCTTTCATCATACATACCATGCTCTTTTTGACACTTTGGAAATGTAAATTACCTCTGGCGCCACTACTGGTTCTAAATTATGATCGCACAATATAAAAAAATAATCATGAATATAACGTTGAACAAAGTTATGATTAAAAGAGAAACCACAAATTGTATACATGCATCGACCGTGCAAGACTAGCGGTAGCATAGGTGAAACGTAGTCGGTTTTATGTTCAGTTTCATCCATCTCACAATGGTTTTATTCTGTAATTAAACATATAACAAGATAATAATTAACAAAGCCCACATCGATAAATCTATGAAACACATGAAATATTCGTAGGGCCATCCTAGGCCTATAAAGGTCAAAGGTCAACTCTCTACCAGCACTTGCGTCTCCCCTGTCTATTCCCGTTTATGCATAGCATTACTTACGGTAATATAGGTCTTAACTTTAACATGATAATTAACGGCTTAAGCCAAAGCTTAACTCTAACTAGGTCATCGCAAACTCCAAAGCATATAACACTGAATCAAAGAATCATAATATAACAATAAAATTATCTCTACATATCTGATTATGATGAATTTAACTTACTTCAATTTACGCATTGTGATCTGGTTACTAGGCGATCTACTACTTCGAACTTTCCATACTCAATTGAGGGCGCTACACAAGTTGCTCTATTTTACAGCTGCCCCCAAATTTACATGTAAATTTGCATATTATAATTATAAAGTTAACAATCTAACAGATTAACAATATTCAACAATAATCCTATAAACATAACAAATTAGTTCAATAGCCACTTTAAGTTAACATTCGGGCACGTTCTATTTTGCGATCACTGGTTCATCCTTCTATTCCGGCAACTTGATAAGCTTTGCCACCGGTCGTCGGTACATCGTGCCACGGACACAAACATCAACTGCTCTTACTCTGCTGTCCCGGCCAGGGAACACTTTTGTCACCGATCCAACGGGCCATTGTGCTCGAGGTAATAGCTTATCTACAATAAGCACAACATCGCCAACTGTTAAGTTTTTTGATTCTTTATACCACTTCTGTCTAGTCTGAAGACCGGGTAGGTAATAAGTTATGAAGTGTTTCCAAAATTGATCGGACAACACCTGGCTATGGCGCCATCTCTTACGTCCAAGCAATTCAGTCTCTGGATAGATGACCTGTGGTAATGCTGGATCGTATCTACCCATGAGTAGGATGTTCGGGGTGATAGGATTCACATCTCTGGTGTCCGATGACACATAACCTAATGGTTTGGAATTCAAGATCCCTTCCACCTCAATCAATACTGTCCGCAGTACTGCTTCAGTTACGCTCTGAGCTCCCAGAGCAACACGGAGAGCATGTTTGACACTCTTAATCTCTCTCTCCCATGTACCCCCAAAGTGGGGGGCTAATGGTTTGTTGAACTTGAAACACACTCTTTGGTCTGCAAGTTGTGTCTGTAATTCTGTACTCATAGCATGGAATGCCTGCTGGAGCTCCTTATCTCCTCCTTTGAAATTAGTGCCACAATGCTACAAAACGGCGCAGTGACATCAAGAAGGAATCTACGTCCATACTTTCTAGTAGATCCAAGTGTATTGAACGAGTTGTCATACATTTATATATGATGCCCCACCTTTTCTCACTCTTTCTTCCTATCTTTACTATCATAGGACCAAAACAATCTACTCCGGTTGAATAGAATGCCGGTTGGTTATGCTGTGTTTAGGGTCCAGTATTATGGCATGTTTTGTTTGTTCGGGCAGGAGTTCAGCTTCCCTCAATCTTCCTCCCACACTTATCAGTCCAGTGGTTGTGTTGTAAAATGGATCTAACTATGTTAATCTGCTACTTGTAGGAAGGGGTTTCCCAGCTTTAAGGGTTGTTACTTCGTCTCTGAAACACTCGATTTGCACCCTTTTCCAGAGGATATGCGCAATGCTTTCAGTCGAGTGGGCCACCCCATCGAGGCTCTCTCTGGTGGCCTTAATAAGGTCGTCAAGCTGGCTGAAACTTTCGGGTTGAAGCTCAATTTGTACCTGGGTGACTCCACAGAACACACCACCTCTTATCTCTGCCACTTCCTCCTTCTTCTCTAGAGCTGTTTCTTGAGGCCATTCACTGCAAGGTTGTTTAAGGAAGGCAGGTCCATCTCTCCATCTTCCATCAATTGATAGGTCCTTGAGTGACATTCCAGTTATGTCATCTGCAGGGTTGAGTGTGGTGTTGATATAGCGCCATTCGCAATCATGCGTTAACTGTTGGATTTCACTTACTCTTGTTCCAACAAATACTTTAAACCTACAAGATTCTGATTGCAGCCACCGCAGAACTGTGGTAGAGTCACTCCAGTAATATGTTGCAGTGATCGGAATCGTTAGCTCTTTCCTAATAAGGTCAGAAAGTTGAGCTCCTGTTAAAGCTGCGGACAGCTCTAATCTGGGCATGGATAGTTGATGTTTCGGGGCCACCCTACATCTGGCCATTACAAAACTGACATAGGTAGAGTTTTCATTAACAGTGCGCAGGTAGGCTACCGAGCCATAGATCCGCTCAGATGCGTCACAGAAAATGTGCAGTTGTCGACTAGATTCTAGCAGTCTGGTATTGCTTGGTGTGTAACACCGTGGTAAAGATACTAAGGGTAGGTCTTCAAGTTCTTCTTCCCATTTAATCCATCTTCGTCTTATAGCTCCATCCTCTATCGTGGTGTCCCAGTCTCTACTGACTTTCCCCAAGTCTTGTACAATGACCTTCGCTCGAGCAATGTAGGGGCCAAGAAACCCAATAGGGTCGTACTGACTTGCTAAAATTCTGTAAATTGTTCGAAGGTTCAGGTGATCGTAGATAACATGGTTCTGGCCATAATGCAAAGTATCACTTTGACATCTCCATCGGAGGCCTAGCATAGGCTCGGGGTTATCATCTCCAGTGGAAATTGACAATTCGTAGTTCTGTGATATGGAATCTTTTGGGAGCTCTGAAAGTACACCAGGGACATTGCTTGCCCACTGTCTTATGTTAAAACCTCCATCAGCAAGCAAGCAAGGTTCGCATATTCATCACAAGTTCCTTGGCTTCTGTAACCGTAGGCAAACTGTCAAGACAATTGTCCACATAGAATGCGTGTTCCACTGAGTGAACCACATTTTCATACCCTTTGCGGTAATTGTTGACATGTTTTTGAAGTGCGAATGTCGCACAACATGGGCTGCAGGTTGTTCCAAATGGCAATACCTGCCATTCATATATACATGGTTCAATATTTCGTTGTAAGTCTCGCCATACGAACCGAAGAAGGGGGCGATCTTCGGGTAGCAGCCTGATCTGATGAAACATGGCTTTTATATCGCCGGAAACAGCAACTCTGTGCTGTCTGAATCTCAATATAACTCCCAAAAGTGAAGCACCAAGTGTTGGTCCGGGAAGTAGGTTAGCATTTAACACCTTTCCATTGTGTTCATATGAGCAATTGAATACTAGTCTATCTTTCCCATTGTGGGAGACTACATGATGTGGGAAGTACCATGATTCATTTGACTGAACAGCTTCCTCTCTAGATATTTCTTTAACACAACCATCATCCACCAGCTTCCTCACCAGTTGGTTGTGGGTTTCTGCCTTTTCTGGATTGGTCTGAAGTTGCCGTTCCGAACGTCTAAGAATGGGTAGGACCGCTTCAGGCCTAGCATGGAATGTTACGTCATTCTGTGTGTGAAGAAGCGGAGTGGCATAACGGTTTACCCCATTGATTTTAACTCGAACCGTCTTCTTTCCAAGAGTTCTACTGCTTGATTATCTTGACGAGACCTAACGGCATGTTTGGAATAAGGTAAAATGTCAATTTCCCACAGTCGTTTGACATTTTTCAACAAGTCCTGATTTACTTTAGTGTTGACAAAATATGTGGATTGAGGTTGCTGATATGTCAGTAGATGAGATGGACCTTGTATCGTCCACCCTAATGCTGTCCTGATTGCAGCTGGAGCTCCCCTAGGCCCTAGACGTACTGGTTCCAAGGGAAGAATGAGTCCTGCATTATCTGAACCAATCAAGATTAACGGCTTTGCCTGGTTAATATCTGTCAAAGGTATTTGTCTTAGATGAGCATATCTTTTCTGAAGAGACTGGATTGGATGGGTGTACTCTGAGAAGCTTAGCTGATGAGCACTGAACACCCCCTGTAGACTGAAGCGACATTGGTGATTATCTCGGGATGACACGTGCAGGTTCACGGAATAACCACTGCATTCGGTTCTACCCTGATTAACAGTCGTAAGTAAGATACTGTCTTTGACTCCAGTGATATGAAGCTTTTTAAGCGCTTGAGTCATAATGATTATCCGCATAGATCCATCGTCGAGGATTGCATATGTGTCAATGTAGGATTTAGGACCATGAAGGGTGACTGGTAAGATCTTCAGCATGACATTGTGAAGACGATGTTGCCTGTCTATGTACAACTGGACTGTAGATGGCGGCTTGTTCCCCCCATTGGTAGTCGCATCATGCAGCACTGTCAAATGCAAGTCATTGCACTGTCTACAGGGTCGCTTAAGGGTACAATTTTCCGGTAAATGTGTCCTGCCACAGCGCCAGCACCGCTTCTTTTCTTTAATCCAACGAACTACTTGTTCAACCTTCAGTTCTTTGAACTCTCTGCACCCTCCCAGATAGTGATTATTGGAGGTGCAGTAAGGGCAGAACATCTTTGAGAACGTACACTTTCTCTCAGTCGTCATGAAACTTGTTGTTCTCGATGGTTTCTTGGTTACAGGATAATGCTCTTTGTATAGTGTAGAGGCTTGGTTTGCTATTCGCTGGGCTCGTGTTCTGGTTTGTAACCAGTCTGAAAGATCCTTAAGGTTGTAAGTCTTGTCTGTATTGGTTTCTATAACCTTTCTGTTGATGCAATGCTCTACAAATCGATCACGGATAGGAGGTGCCAGCTTACTGATGAGCCGATCCACATAGGAACCACACTGGAGTTCATAACCACTATCGCCTTCTATCGACCGTAACATACCCACTAATGAATGCACTGACAGTGCGAAATTCCCAAAACTATCAGTATCATTAGATCGGATAGGAGGTGTTTGTAGTAGTTGTCCAATCTCGCTTTGGACAAGTTGTCGCGGCTGTCCATACTTTTCTTGCAAGGCTGAAAGTGCAGCTGAGTAGGGCTTGGTCTCATGGATAAATGCTTCAGCCAGTTTCCTAATATTGCCACCAAGGTGGCTCAGCAACACTTGATACTTGTATTGTTCGGTGAGATGAGGGTAAACCCCTAACAGACTGTCTAAGGCCATCTTCAGTAAGGCGAAGTCTTTCTCCTTTCCGCTACTAAAATGGGGAAGTGTAGGCTTTGGGATGCCATACAATGATGCAGGCGGATATGCACGTGATGGTTGTTGATAAGGTGAACTGAGCAATAATTCACCCGAAGTTAACGGTAAGGTTGAGGGAAATTGAGCTGCTCCTACGGTTTGAGCACTGGATGCTACAGGAAATTGAGCTGCTCCTATGGATTG